CGGGGCTCGATCCCAGGACCCTGGGATCATGACCTGAGCCGAAGGCAGACGCTTAACGACTGAGCCACCCAGGCACCCCACTAAGGCTATTTTTTAGGGCAATATTACATTCACAGCATTGAGGGGAAGGTACAGAGATTTATTATACACATCTGGTCCCCACACATGCAGAGTCTCTCTATGATCAACATCCTTCACGATAGTGGGACATTTGTTACAATTGATGAACCTACATTGACACAGTCTAATCACGCGAAGTCCATGATTTACACCTTAGTTAACTGTTGGTATTGTACATTTTATGGGTTTAAAAAAATGTATGACAACATGTATCCACCATTAGAGTATCATAGAGAGAATTTTCTGCCCTAAAAATCCTCTGTCCTCTCCTCCTATTCATCACTCCCCCACTGACCCCTGGCAACAACTGATCTTCTTAGTCTCCATAGTTTTGCCTTTTCCAGAATGTCATAGAGTTGGAATGATACAGTTTGTAGCCTTTTCAGATTGGCTTCTTTCACTTGATAATATGCATTTAAGTTTCCTCCATGTTTCTCTCTCTCTCTCTTTTTTTAGAGAGGGAATCGGGGGTAGAAGGGGCAGAGTGAGAGGGGGAGAGAGAATCTTAAGCAGGCTCCACATCCAGCACAGAGCCCAGTGCGGGGCTTGATCTCAGAACCCTGAGGTCATGACCTGAGCCAAACTCAAGAGTTGGATGCTTAACTGACTGAGCCAACCAGGTGCCCCTCCTCCATGTTTCTCTGTGGCTCAATAGCTCATTCTTTTTAGTGCTGAATAGTATTTCACTGTCTGGATGTATCACAGTTTATCCATTCACCTACTGAAGGCCACCTTGGCTGCTCCCAAGTTCTGGCAATTATGAATAAAACTGCTATAAACATCTATTTGCAGATTTTTGTGTGGATATAAGTTTTTTTTTTAACTCCTTTGGGAATTAAAAGGAGTGTGATCGGGGCGCCTGGGTGGCTCAGTTGGTTAAGCAACTGCCTTCGGCTCAGGTCATGATCCCAGGGTCCTGGGATCGAGTCCCACATCGGGTTCCCGGCTCAGCGGGGAGCCTGCTTCTCCCTCTGACCCTCTCCTCTCTCATGCTGTTTCTCTCTCGCTCTCTCTCCAATAAATAAATAAATAAAATCTTTAAAAAAAAAAAAGGAGTGTGATCGCTGGATTGTATGGTTAAGAGTATGTTTACTTTTGTAAGAAACCACCAAACCATCTTCCAAAGTGGCTGTACCATTCCCACCAGCAATGAATGAGAGTTCCCATTGTTCCACATCCTTGTTGGCATTTGGTGTTGTCAGTATTCTAAATTTTGGTCATTCTAATAGATGTGTAGTGGTATCTCACTGTTGTTTTAATTGGCATTTCCCTGATGACACATGACGTGGAACGTCTTTTCATACGTTCATGTGCCATCTGTATGTCTTCTTTGGTGAGGTGTTTGCTAGGGTCTTTGGCCCATTTTTTAATCAGGTTGTTTTCTTATTGAGTTTTAACAGTTCTTTGAATATTTTGAATAACAGTCCTTTATCAGATGTCTTTTGTAAATATTCTCTCCCATTCTGTGGCTTGTCTTCTCATTCTCTTCACAGTGTCTTTCACAGAGAAGTTTTTAATTTTTTTTAAGATTTTATTTATTTATTTGACAGAGAGAGACACAGTGAGAGAGGGAACACAAGCCAGGGGCATGGGAGAGGGAGAAACAGGCTTTCCGCAGAGCAGGGAGCCCAATTCGGGGCTCGATCCCAGGAACCTGGGATCATGACCTGAGCCGTAGGCAGACACTTAACAACTGAGCCACCCAGGCTCCCCAGAAATGTTTAATTTTAATGAGATCCAGATTACCAATTATTTCTTATATGGACCATCCTTTTGGTATTGTTTCTAAAAAGGCATCAACACCACTGTCAAGGTCATCTAGGTTTTCTCCTATGTTATCTTCTAGGTGTTTCACAGTTTTGCTCTGTACATTTAGGTCTGTGCCCCATTTTGAGTTAACTTTTGTGATGGGTGTAAGGTCTGTGTCTAGGTTAATATTTTTGCTTGTGCATGTCCAGTTGTTCTAGTTCCACTTGTTGAAAAGAGTATTTTTGCTCCATTGTATTACATTTGCTCCTTTGTCAAGATCAGTTGACCATATCAATATGGGTCTACTTCTGGGCTCTCTATTGATCTATTTGTTCCATTGATCTATTTGTCTATTCTTTTGCCAGTATCACGCTGTCTTGATTACTGCAGCTTTACAGTAAGTCTTGAAGTCAGGTAGTATCAGTCTTCCAACTTTGTTCTCCTTCAATGTTTTGGCTATTCTGGCTCTTCTGCTTCTCAGTATAAACTTTAGAATCAGCTTATTGATATTCACAAAATAACTTGCTGCGATTTTTATTGGGATTGCACAGAATCTATAAATCAAGTTGGGAAGAATGGACATCTTGACAATATTCAGTCTTCATCACTCACTTTTGATTCAACTGAAATTTAATTTGTCAAATGGAACAATCTCCTTTTCACAGGATTGTTTGAAATGTTTTTCATTGTTCAGTAACTACCTAGAATACTGTAAACCCTGTGTCAATGTCCCTGCTCTCAGGCAGCTTATCTTTTAGAGGGGAAGGGAACAGACGATAAACAAGCATACAAATAAATTAGTGATTTCAAATAAGTGTTGTGAAGAAAGCATGGAATAGGGAGTGACTGGCAGTGAAAGGGCTATTTAATACCAGGGAACTTCCCCGAGGAGGCAACATTTGAACTGAGACCTTCACGAAAAGGGAGAGCTAAGGAAAAACTTTCAGAGGAAACAACAAAAATGAAGGCTCTGGAAGCAGAAAAGAACTTGATGGATGGTTTGAAGAAGGGCGTGGTGGCTTCAGTACAGTGAACAAGGGGTAAATGAAGTTTTAAAAAAAAGTAGACAGGGGTCATAGCCTGTAGGATATTTATTTTTAAAATTTAAGTATAAAATACATGCTTTGAGGTACACAAAGTACACAAATTTTAAGTACACAGCTCAATGAATGTTTACATCTGTATATACCCATGGAAATGACCTCATCCAGATCAAGATAGAGAACATCGGTCAGCAAACATTTTTTGGTAAAGCACCAGACAGAAAATAGTTTAGGCTTTGTGGGCCTAGGGCCTGTGTTGCAACTACTCAGCTCTAGTACTGTAGTAGGGAAGCAGCCAGATGCCATGTAAATCAGTGGGTACATTTCTAGTAGAGCCCTGTGGCTCTTCCCAGGTAAAATCTGTCTCTCAATGGTTATTTTTATTTTTATCACCTGCTCTTGCACTTTATATAAATGGGATTATATATATTCTCTTGTGCCTGGCTTCTTCAGCTCAACATGTCTGTCCTGTGGAGACTTTAAGTCATGATACATAATTTGGGTTTTTATTTAAGTGAATTAAGATGCCATTTGGGGGGGTCATAGGTGTGAGAGCAACATGATCTGATTTATATGTAAAGGTCACTCTGGTTGCTATGTGGAGAATGGAGTAGAGAAACAGGAGTGGATGTGGGAAACCCAGTCAGGGGTAATCCAAGCAAGAGATAATGGTGACTGGCTCAAGGGTGATAGTCATGGAAATAGAAGAGAGTTTTGGGGTTTATTTTCAGTTTGAGCTCATGAATCCCATACCAGTTATTTTTGTTTTTAACCAAGTATTATAATACAAGTAGTTCACACTAATAAATTTCCTGAATAATCTTTCTGAGACTGGCTTAGTGGATTTTCATGTATAAACCATGTTCCTATCCTCAAGGGGTTAATACTACTTTTTGGGGTGGAGGGGACAGACCACGAATCCAGATATAATGCAATCAGTGCTTTATGAAACCCCGGAGGCTATGGGAGCCAACAGTGTGAAAACCAGCCTAGGTGTGGTCAAAGGAGAGAGATCACCTGGGGGTTGTCACCCTTGAGCTGAATTTTGAAGGAAGAATAACTGAAAAAGGATGAAAAGGTTTATGGGAAGGCCAAGAGATGTGAGATCTCTTGGAAGCCCAGTGTGGTTCTTTTTTTTTTTTTTTTAAGATTTTATTTATTCATTTGAGACACAGAGATATATATATAGAGAGAGAGCATGAGCAGTGGGAGAAGCAGAGGAAGAGGGAGAAGCAGACTCCCCGCTGAGCCAGGAGCCCAACGCGGGGCTGGATCCCAGGACCCTGGGATCATGACCTGAGCCGAAGGCAGACCCTTAACCATCTGAGCCACCCAGGTGCCCCGCTCAGTGTGGTTCTATGCTGGGGTCTCAGAAATATGTAAGCTTGGTATAAAAAAAAAAAAAAAAAAAAAAAAAAGACTGAACTGGCCCTAAATGGATAGGCATTCAACCACTTTTTCAATCAAACAATCTGTCCTGGGTGCTTTTGTATGCCTTGAGGCCCCAGCATAGGCCAGAGGTAGCAAACTGGCAACCTGTGGCTGAATTTGACCCTTTTGGCTGGCAGGGTGACCACTGGAACAGTGGTTTGAACAGTGGCTGTTCTTGCGGGACAGAGCCTATAGTCTCCAGTCCCTCATGTTTCTCACCTGACCCTCTTCATTTTATTTATATTACCTTCCTAGGTATTTGAGTTTTCTTTCTTTATTTACATTTATTTTCTTAATAAAGTATAAGGAACATACAATGTTATGTTAGTTTCACGGGTACACGTTTTTGAGTTTTCAACCCTGATCTTTGCTCTAAGAAAAACAGATCTTCAAATCAGTGACACCGAGAGAAGGATCAACTCTTTGAGTAAACCAGGTAAGAACTAAACTGAGTGGATGAAGAGGACCTGAATGAGAACTTTATCAGGGCTTCCTAACCTGACTTTAGTTGGTAAATTTTGCCTGTGTATCCTTGTGATTTAGACTGCTTGGCTATGAATCCTGCCTTTGGGCTCTGTCACTGGTTAATCTATGAGCTTCAATTCATTTGTAAAATGGAGCTTGTTGGGATTAAAAGAATTAGTGCACAAAGTGATCTCAGTAGAAGGTAACTGTTGTTATTCTTTTCTGGGGTGAGGCATCTCAAAGGAGTTCTTAACCTAGAAAGTTGGCCAACAAATGGCATATAGGTGCTTGGGAGCTATCGGGAATAACTCCCTTGTGTAAAACGAAGCAGCTCTCTATGTAAGTGGACTGCCGTGGGGAATCCAGAGGCCCAGGCTCTACTGCTAACTTGCTGAAAGGACCTGACAAATTGCTTTAGCTTTCCGGGTGATGTATTAAAAAACGGTGGACTAGTCCGATTTGGTAGTCGCAAAGCAGCTCCAGGAGCACTTTCGCTGGTGGAGGATAAAGACGCTCTGCCGCCGGGCAAGCACGGAGTCTCCGAGAGGACTACATCACCCAGTCTGCTTTGCGCTTCAGGCAGCGCCCTACGCTAGCACGCGAGCCTCCCCGTTCCCCCAACCTCCAGTTACTGTCTCTCGCGAGAGGACGGGCCGCGCCGGCGGTAGCGATAGTGAGCTGTGGTGGTGGTGCTGGTGGTGGTGGTGGCGGCCGAGACGGCGGCGGCCATTTTGGTGGGGCCTCGGAAGCGGCGGCGGCGGTTCGCTGAGAGTAGCGTCTTCCATTTTTCCCACCCACCGCCCGCATCTCTTGTGCCGTGAGAGGAGGCAGTGGAAGCAAGGCGGTGGCAGTAGCCACGGGCCCCAGGGGAATTTAAAGGCCGCGAAGGCGGCAGCCAAGAGGGGGCCCTCCCCCCTCCTCGGCGGGAGGGGGGGTGGTGCGCACGCCCCCGAGGACGCAGGTAAGGAGAGGGAGACAAGATGGCGGACGCTCCACAGTTCCCCCTCCCCTGACGGGTGACTGCGCGCGCATCTTTCCGCCACCGCCTCTCCTCCCACCTTCCCGGGGTGCTGCGCGCGCACCTTCGGCCGGGGCCCCGGGGCCGGTGCGCGAGGCTGTCGGCGCGAGCCCATAGAGACAGGCTGAGGGGGGCCAGGCTGGCCAGCACAGGGCCCGGGCGCATCTCCTCTCCCCTCCCGCCCGTCTGCGCACGCGTGCCTGAGCGAGCGAGCGAGCCCTGAGAGGACGGACCCAGGTGCGCTCCTGCCCGCCCACCAACCCCATTCCCCCCCCCCCAAGGGGCGCGCGGGAAGAGGAAGGGGGGCGTGGGACGAGGAGTCGGGGCGCGCGCCCACCATATCCAGTCAGTAACCAGGACCTGGCGGCACGAACCCTCCCTTATGTCAGCCCTTCGCGGTCTGGTGGTGGGGGGCTTCCTGACGGGTAGGGATGAGAGACTTCCCAGCCTGCGACCCTTGTGTGCGTGGGTTTGGGCTCTGGCGGGAGCCCCCGGGCGGTGCGCGCAGCCGGCTCTCTCCACTTCCAGGCGCGCACGCGCGGGCCCCTCCCCCAGTCTGTCGCGCACGTTGGGTGGGGTGGGAGTTTAGGAGGGGGCGGGGCTAGTTTAGGGTTAGTGGCAACTTGGGGCAGAGGTCAGGGGTCACGCCGGGTCAGTCTGTTGGAAGGAGTTGGGAGAGAGCGGTGAAGCGGGGGAGTCAAGAGTTCAGGCGTCTTGGATTCTGGTTAGCTCGGGTCCTGTGAATCTGTTGTGGAGGAAGGAGTGAATCAAAGGCTGCACCGTGGTGAAGGAATTTCCTTAAACACTGGGGAAACACTTCCGGGCCTTTGGTGGGTTTACCCCACCTGTTTCCGGGGCATGGTTCTTTGCTGAGCGGTCTTTCTCACTTTGGACTTCTCTTCTAATGTCTCCTGCTGCAGTTCTTGGGTTTGGGGAAGTGTCTCATGGCTCAGGTATAGGAGTTACAGGGCCCTGCCCAGAGAGGAAGGGTGGATTCTCCTGTGATTTTGTGCAGCCCTCACTGCAAAGGAGAGCCAACATCTTTGAGCTTCTGGATGTGACAGCTCTTTTTGCTTTATTTGCTCTCCATTCAGTGGTTGGAGCCTTTTACACTTCAGCTTTTTAAACTTTTTTTTTTTTTGCTTTACTTCAGTGCTTCTCCTCCAGCCAGAATCTCAGGTCTCTAGGGAATTTTGTTTTTGAAAAACATGATTTGCTTTTATTTTTCTGAAATGCGAGCTTTTCTTATTACTGTAACTCTCTTCTTTTCAACCTTTGATTTGGGTATACTTAAAAGCCTCAAAAGTTGTTGTAAAGAAGGCTTTGATAGGTGTTGGTAAATGTGGATTGGTTCCTCACTGCTGTTTTCCTGCCCTTCTGTTTGTTTCAGGCGTGATTTCCCTCAGTACGGCGGCACCGTGGAAGTACAGACTTTCACAGGGGGTGTGGTCTCAGCTCACACAGGTGAGGGTTCAGATACTGTTTTGTGTACTAATGCTAATGGGAGAGATGTTTGAGATAAACAATGAGGGAAATTATAAGTCAGTATTTTTGGTTTGATAATGGTGCAAGAACAAAACTAGACATGTGGATAGAGAAAGGTCTGATCACCCTGGTTCTCCCAAGGAGAGTAACATGTTCTCCATGGATTTGGCATCAGACTACCTGAGTTTCAGTCTGTCAGTTCCTTACTGTGTGACCTTATGCAAGGCATTTAGGTCTCTGTGTGTGCTGACTTTCTAACTTATAAAATAGAGAAAGTATTAGAATGCATGCTTCATTTAGGTTAGGGATATTTTCTGTCTCTATCCTTACTATATAGAAAAAACTGAATAAACATTTATTAAGGTGTGAAAAGTACCTGACTTGCAGGGTAGGTGTGAGGATTATAGAACATATCAAGTCGGTGCTTAGTAAAGTATGGCACATAGTGGAAGCTTAGGAAATGTAGGCTATAATCATTGTTCATTATCTTTATTCTTTAACATTGTTCTTGTTTTTTTTTTTTTTAAAGATTCATTAATCTTTTTAAATTCCATTTTTACTCTTTTTACCCTATTTTAGGTGCTCCAGAGGCCGGTGGACCTGAGCGGAGGCTGGGACGCCCTAGTGGGCCCCGGGCCCTGGAAGGCGGGTCCCGGTGGCCGGTGGCCCAGAATGAGGCCAGCTCCCAGCATGCCCTGCAGCCGGACGCCAGCCCCTCGGCCAGCAGCAGTGGTGATAACGACCCAGTCATTCTTCAGGCGTCCAAAGAGGAGCCTGGGAGTGGGACCATGCAGAGCAGCCCCTCCCCTGCTCACCCTCAGCTCCCAATCCTGCAGGCACAGGTTTGAAAGTGGGGAGGGTTCCTTCTCTGTTTCTGCTTTGTGGACTGTTGGGTCTGAGGCAGAAGAAATGTGGCAAGTTTTAGCCACATATCCATGATTCTAGCTGTCTGTGTTTAGAAAATTTTTGGTGCTCAGGTTGAGCATCAGTCCTATTAGATACTCACATTCTTTTTGACATTAATATAATACTGATCATTAAGAGTGTCGAAACTTCTTGTTACCTGAAAAAGGTTCAGTTAGGCCAGGTTGGAAATGGAGGTTGGGACAACATGCTCCTAAACTGTGAGGTTTGAGAATAGCTCAGTTCCTTTAGGAATTGGAGCAACATAAGCATTATGGATGGTGTGTAGTGTTGATACTTTTCTTATACTAAGGAAGTGTAAGAGTAGAAAAAATGTGGCTTTTGAGAGTATACCTATACATAGGTTTGCAAAGAGTAGGCTTTTGACTGGTATGGATTTGATACTTACAATTTTCCTGAGCAGCTGGGGAATTTTGTGACATACAGTCTTTTGTCATTTAACTGAGGTAGGAATTTCAGTGGCACACCTGTGAGGATAGTGTGCTGAGTGGTTTTTATGAGTTTCTTCACTGTCCACATTCAAGTGAGACTTTGTTCTCTATTTATTATTGTTTGTTCAGTACTTTGTAAAGTAATAGGTGAGTATTTGAGAGCAGTGACCAACCCCACACCCCTTCCTGCCTTCCTAGTAAAAGAAACTACCAAGATTGATGAAGAACATAAAGAGGTTTAAGTGATCTTGGTGGTAGTCATTGTTGCTTTCTGAATTTGGTGATAACTCAAATTTACTCTAATAGGTGAATCTGCCATACTTGCTGTGTAAAAGAAGGAAGAATAGGGAGTTGTTTATGTGAGTGGAATTCTTGAGTTTCTGAAAGGATCGTTAGCATTTGAAATCACATGCTATGGTATTATTCTTGAATTTGGGAACTGTGTAAATGTCAGGTTACAACTCTTCTTGCATGCCAAGCATCTCTAAACTTGGGTCTCTTACCTTGAACACCTCATCAAAACATTACCCAAAAATTTGTGTTTATAAAAACAAGGTTGATCATTTACTCCGGAGTTTTTTTTCCTTGTAAGATAGAATGAAATAATATGATGAGAACTTCTCATGGTGCTAAGCATTCATTTTATCTATCATTTTCCGTTTTTCTAGATGGTGTCGGACGGCATGACAGGCAGCAATCCTGTGTCCCCTGCCTCATCCAGTTCCCCAGCCTCTAGTGGGGCAGGCGGCATCTCCCCCCAGCATATAGCTCAAGATTCCTCTCTGGATGGACCTCCAGGGCCCCCAGATAGTGCCACAGTGCCCCTGGAGGGGCTCAGCTTACCCCAGGCTGCTGACCTGGCTAACAAGGGCCCAAAGTGGGAGAAGAGCCATGCTGAGATTGCAGAGCAGGCCAAGCATGTACGTATTGGGAAGGCCTGTGAGGATTCTTCTTTCCTCAACTTCTAAGTCCCATGAGCATTTTACATTTCTTTCCTTGTGGATTTAGAGTATAGGCTGTGCCTTAACATGTCTTGAGCAAGTTGCTTGATCTCTGAGCCTCCTTTTCTATAAGGTAGACGTGGTGTAGTAGTCTATAGACTGTTGTGAGGTCTAAGTTAAAGGAGAAAATAGACATGAAAGTGCTTTGTAAACCGGTAAACTTAATATTTACTGGTTTCTACTTCTCATTTCTATCCTCTAGCCTCTGTTGCCTTACCCAGTGGTTAAGTGTGGTCCCTGGACCAGCAGCATTGGCATCACCTGGGAAGTTTGTTAGAAATGCAAGTTTTTTCGTACCCCTCTTCCACCTATCCATTTAAAGCTCGAGGGTGGGGCTCAGCAATCTGTCTTAAAAAGTACTCCAGATGATTTTTTTTTTTTTTTTTTAGATTTTGTTTATTTGAGAGAGAGAATGATCAAGGAGAGCAGCAGAGGGAGAGGGAGAAGCAGACTCCCCGCTGAGCAGGGAGCCTGATGTGGGGCTCGATCCCAGGATTCTGGGATCATGACCTGAGCCGAAGGCAGATGCTTAACTGACTAAGCCACCCAGGCACCCCACTCCTGATGATTCTGATGCATGCTTAAATTTGAGAGCCATTGGTCTAATACCCTTGTCTTGATTTTTTTTCTTCACCGTCAGGTTATTTAGTTCCCTGTGTCATCTATGGCTGTTATTTCCTCTGATTTAGTTTTTGTCAGGAGAGAACAAGAATAATGAAGGCAGTTTTCTTGAGTTTGTTTGTTTTTAAAGATTATTTTAGGAGCATCTGAGTGGCTCAGTCAGTTAAGCATCTGCCTTCAGCTTGGGTCATGATCCCAGGGT